AACAACAACAACAATAATCCAATGTAAATGCCCAGAAAGTAGGACCACACTGATCTTGTCCACCACGGTTCTCAGCGTGCCCCGTGATAGTTATACTTACAAATATTTTCTGAATGTCCACATGTAGAAAGGACTGCAGATACTGCTAAATTCTTTTCAAACTCCAGTTTATATTAAGACTACAGACCTTGCACCTTGGGCACATGTGGCTACTGAAATAGCAGCAAGACTCTTTTAATAATTAGGAGGTCTGACTGTCTCCCCTCCTTATTTTAATTTTTCAGAATATTTATAATTGTTTCTGTTTCAATGTAAGTTTTAGAATTAGCTCCACTCAGAAAAAATGCCTCTTGTTTAATATTAAGTTTATAAATTATGAAGCTTCAAAAGACAAAATTATGATCCTGAGTATAACACATCATAGTGTAAGGAAGAGTAAATTAATTTATAACAAGGCATACACTCACCGGTCAGTGTCTTACAGAGACTCGGTATTAAGAATTCAATCATCTCATCTATTTGAACAATTAAAAAAAGAACCAAAACGCATACTTGTTGCTGTCTGGTCAATCCCCTCTCGTGGACGCCACACACAGCACCCTGCGGACAGTGAATCCAAACCTTGTCCTTACTCGGCCACCCTCACAAACTCCACTGTGCCCACTGTTGCAGTCACTTTGTCACTCTAGCTCAGTGAAGGTCTTCCACTCCTTTGCTGACCCTTAACGACTTGTCTCTCCTGGTTTGGGGCACACTGACCAATGTCCAACACATGCTGTTGCTAGGTGCCAGCCTTCTTTCTGGACTCCTGTCATGACAACAAATGACTTGCTTTTATCCTTTCTATTACATTTGGGGCACCATACTGTGTTTTCTTAAAGAATTATTTATGGAAATAGATCTTACTTATCAATGAATTTCACTACAGGATAGAAAAACGGTAGAGAAGGCCTGGTGGAGGGTCAGTTAAAGAACGCGTTGTCAATGTTGGCTTTCCCAGAAGGCTCAGTCATAGCAACAACTGGAAGGCAATCACGGGGCTCAGCAGTGTTTCCTTCTGGGGTCCACTGGGTCACGTGACTAGGGATCAACTTGGCAGCACATTAGGAAAAACAAATTCAGGCGCTGCAGAGCATCTGCTATTGAAATTACGGCAGACAGACCTGCACAGTGACCGATTTCTGGAAGATTACCAAATCAACCAGTTGCTTACCTTTTTCAAAGGAACTTTGAAAGCAATGAAACGGGTCCCAGGCATCCGCCGCCCAATTGGAAGGTAGTCTTTCCACCTATTAGACACACTTTGTGTTAGTAAACTGAACTTTAGGCTTGCCTCTCTGCACAGAAGCAAAGCTCCTAGACAGTGGAAAGATAACCACACAGCACGTCCCCTCCTCTCCACTTTGCACTTTCCAACCCTGCCTAGTAACAACCCAGGTCCTCTCTCTTCCAATTTCTCTGACTCAAAGATGGCTATGAGACAATAAAACAATGGAAAAGTAAACCACAAATAAGGCATATGTGAAGCCAGCAATGGCCAGACTTCTGTATTCCTGATGATTCCAAGCCAGTACTGCACCCTCTGCTGTCATTAATACACATGCTGGCTGAAGTCATCTAACTCAGCCCTGTACTTTACAGTGTATACTGTCTTCACAGGACTGGTGTCATCTAATTCCGTCAGTGGAGAACTGACAGAAAAGGGGCTGTGCTAGGGCACGTGATACACAATAGGAAGTTCTTCAGGGAGGAACTCTGGGCAGAGTCGTGCGGCCAACACAAGAGCCAGCAGCTCAAATCTATCAGCTGCTCCACAGAAGAAAAATGGGCATTCTCCTTCTGTGCAATAGACTCACTCAGAAAACCCACTGGAAGGTCCACTATGGGGCTTTCTCTTTAGGATAAATTAGAACTTAACTATATAAAGATGGGGTGTAAAATAGGAAGGGTATTTCAAGAAGAGGGACCAGCAGGTACAAAAACCCTACTGAGTGTAGCTAATCACAGAGAGTGAAAACCAAAGCTGCACACACAGGACTAGAGGCGCAGACAAAACCCTGGACCATGCATCCAGCAGCCAAGAAATCAAAAGACAAACTGTACTGGGAAAATCTGCTGGCAGGGACCTCTCTAGAGGACCGAAGAGCAATGACGGCAGTCTAGAGACCAAGGTGAACCCGATCTAGGCCATGGTCTTCGCAATTACTGGCTATGCTGGACAATGACTAAGGATGACAGAAGAGTTGATGCCTTTGAGTTGTGATGCTGAAGAAGAGTCTTGAACATACCATGGACCACCAAGAATGTAAATCAGTCTGTCTTGGAGAGGCTGAAACCCAGTTTCTCCTTGGAGGGTAGGATTTTGAAGCTCCATCTCACATACTTTGGGCACATGGCCAGGAGAGATGAGTCCTTGAAGGACATCATGCTTGGAAGGGTGGAGGGATGGTGCAGGAGAGGAAGAACCAGGATGAGATGGATTGATACAGTAGCAGGAGCAATGGGAGGAGGTGTGTCAGAATCAGTGAGACTGACTTAGAACAGGGCAGGCTTCAGAGCTGTTGTACATAGGGTCGCTATGAGTTGCAGACAACACAACAACACATAACAACAACAGCAGCAATAACAGGATATGTATGGATCATATTCTAAGTTAGGTACTTTAAAGATTTTATTTTAAAAAAAAAGATTTTATTTATTCTTAAAGTAGTGTAGTAACTGAATTAACTGAAAGCAGAAAGCAGGAGCGGGTATAGGAACACTACATAGAATCCAACAGCAACTGGCCAGGAGAGACCTGTACTGAGGGCTGATGTGTGCAAGGAGGGAAGTTTATGAACAGTAGAGTTTCAGGAAGAAAATGAAGGCGGGGCAGGGGGAAGGGGAGGGGAGGAGAAGGGGAGGAAGGAGGGGAGGGAAGGGGAAGGGGAGGAAGGGGAGGGGAGAAGGGGAAGGGAGGAGAAGGGGAAGGGGAGGAAGGGGAGGGAAGGGAAGGAAGGGGAGGGAAGGGAGGAGAAGGGAGAAGGGGAAGGGGAGGGGAGGAAGGGGAGGGGAGGGAAGGGTGACAGGAGGGGGATAATAACATCTTGAGCAGTGAAGAAGAGACGACCTCACAAATAAGCAAAATTAGTCATCTGAAAGAGTAAGGGTCATCTCTCAAGTGTGGCACCAACAGCTCGCTCCTTGGGCTTCCTGAAAAGAATCCAAACGCACGGAGAATGGGAGGATCCAGAGGCAGTACTGGGGCGAGGGGTGTCTTCCTCTCAGTCACAGTTATTATTCATATTTCTGTGCCACAAGGAGACTGGAGGAATTGAGGGACCCCATTTCAGTAAGGATGAAAGAGTGCTGCCTTTGAACTGAGCTGTCGGAGAGCGCTGATGAACCCACGTACTGACCACGGTGCTTCTTGGAGACAAGGCTGCTGGAACGGGTGTCACGCAGCTTGGGCATGCTGTCAGGAGGAAGGGGCCGCTCCTTGTCAAAAGACACGGGGGGAGGCGGCGGGTGAGGAGCCGGACTGACACACTGAGTGCCCCAAGTCGCTGCTCCAGCCCATCAGAGGTGAGGCTCCGAGTGACAGGCTCGCTAAGGCTCGCAGCCGACCATCGGCGGGTTTCAGAGGCGGTTAACCGATGGGAGGGCACTGCCCACCGCTCTCCCGTGGAGCAGCAGCTGGATTCGCACTGCCGACGTTCAAGGTGGCAGCCCAACAACACTGGATCCAGGAAACAAGGGGTGGGGGTCCCTTCCTAGCGCCGCTCTTGGGCATGTCAGCGACACGCGCTGATTAAAAGGATGGCGAGGAGTCCCAGCCTCAGCCCCTCGGCGCCAGGGCCGTGGGGTGGCAGGAGACAGAGACCACCGGACCGAAGCCGGGGTCCAGAGACCACGCGCGCCCGCCGAGCCAGCCCCGGGTCCGGTACCCACCTCTCAGGGATGCGATTCTTGCCCTTCTTTTTGGATGAAGAGTGTCCAGAAAAGGCTGGTCCCCGGCCCCAGTCGCCGCGGGCATGATGCCAGTGGCTCATGTGAGCCCTAAGGTGCCGCCCGCCCAACGCCAGCCAGGCCGCCAGGGCCAAAGCCACCTCGTCGCCGGGAGAGAACCGGCAGCGGAAACGGAGGAGGCCGACTCCGGGAGCGCCGCTCACGACTGCGCCTGCGCGAGGCGCGTGACGTCATCAGGCCGGCGACCTCCCCGCCAGGCCATGCAAGGCTACAGCGCCCTCGTCCGGCGGCGGCCAGTAGCACATGTGATGTTGGTCTAACCTTCAAGAAGTGAGGGGCTGAGAAGGAAGTTAGGCTCCACGCAAAATCTTTTTGAAGTTTTGGTTTATTTGTGTACCCTCCAGTTTCTTGTTCCTACAGTGATTTTTTTTAAAGTACTTACATGCATATTTTCTATATGGAAAAGAATGTGGCATCAGGATTGGAGTAAGACTCATCAACAAAACTGTGTTATGCAAATGACTCAACCTTGCTTGCAGAAAATAAAGACTTGAAAAAGACTTATGCAGAGGGTCAGAGTGCAACCTTCAATACAGGTTACATTTCAACATAAAAAAAACAAAAATCTTCACCACTGGGCTAATAGGCAATATAGTGATAGAGAAAAGATAGAAGGTGTCAACGCTTTCATCTTGCTTGGATTCACAATGAACACCCATGACAGCGGCAGTCATTGGAGAAATCTCCTGTCAAGGGCTTCTCCAAAGTTCTAACGTGCAGGACATGATGTTTTCAGGTGCTTCCTGTGCATCTCAAAATTGGACAATGAATACATGTTGGAGGGGATATGTAGAGACTGGAACTCGCCTACTATATTGCTGGCGGAATTGCAAAATGGTATAACCACTCTGGAAGGCAGTTAGGTGTTTCTTCCAAAAGCAGAATGTAGAAATCACATATGACCCAGCTATTCCACTGCTAGGAATATGTTGTTGTTTGCGACTCATAGAGACCCTACGCACAAAAGCCCTAAACCCTGCTCTATCCTGCCCAACCGCACTGCCTCTGACACACCCATCCCGATTACCCCAGTCACCGAATCAATCCACCTCATAGAGGGTCTTCCCCTCCTGCGCTGTCCCTCCACCCTCCCAAGCATGATGTCCCTCTCCAAGGACCCGTCCCTCCTGGCAACATGTCCAAAGTATGTCAGACGAAGCCCCAGAATCCTTGCCTCCAAGGAGTAGCTTGGTTTAATCCTCTCCAAGATGAATCTGTTTGTTTTCCTGGCAGTCCATGGTACATTCAGTACTCTTCTCCAGCATCACAGCTCAAAGGCATCAACTCTCCTTCTGTCCTCGCTAGTCATTGTCCAACTCTCTGATGCATAACAAGCGATTGCAAAGACCATGGCCTGTATCAGGCGCACCTTAGTCTCCAGAGAGACACCGTTGCTCCTGAGTACTTTAGAGAGGTCCCTAACAGCAGACTTTCCCATCGTGATACACTTTTTGATTTCCTGACTGCTTGTGCCAATATACCCCAATGAAAATATAACTGAGACACCAAGAGATTTGGACATTTATGTTTACAGCAGTGTTATTCGCAATAGGAAGAAAATAGAAACAGCTCAAATGTCCATCAACAAATTAACAGATGGAGAAATTATGGCACATTCACACAATGGAATGCTATGCAGCACTACCAAGCAATGATTTTGTAGAATACACTAGACCATGGGATAGTCTAGAGAGCATTATGCTGAGTGAACTAACTAGTCTCATAAGGACAAATACTGCATCACACTTGTTAGGTGCTGTTGAGTCGAGCATGACTCATAGCAACACTATGAAAAGACCTGAACCCAGTCCTGTCCTGCGCCATCCTCATACTTTCTGACATACAAGAAGGGTGATTAATAAAATATGTATTAAAGTCCAAAAGGGGAAGGGGAGAGAGGCAAGGGGCGGAGAGTGGAGAGGGGTCACTAGGCTGACAAGGTTTGGTGGGCAGAAAGCAGGGGCTAAATAAAGGAGTTAGGAAAGAGCTTATGGGGACCTGAAAAGGCAGAGTAATAGTACATATGCATAGCTCAATGGTGATTAATTTTATAATACACAATTTATATGAATGATTGTATGAAGCACATAGTGAATGACGGAATGTGTGAAACACAATGTACATGAATGAAATACAATGCATACGAATTGTATGTGAAAACCAATATAAAATTAAAAATTATAAGAAAAAAAGACTAAGGAGAAAAAAAGGGGGAGGGAAGAAGACTGAAGAAGAATCCATGCCTTTGAACTGTGGTGTTAGTGAAGAGCAGTGACTAAACCATGGATTGCCAAAGAAAAAACAAATCTGTCTTGAAAGACATGCAGCCAGAGTGCTCCTTGAGGCAAGGATGGTGAGACTTTGTCTCATTTACTTTGAGCAGATTTGCAGGAGAAACCAGTACTTGGAAAGAGACATCATTCTGGAGAAGGGCAGAGAAGGAAAGGAAGACCCTCAACAATCTGGGCTGACACAGTGACTACTATAAAGGGCTTGAAGATGACAGAGATGATGAGGTTTGTTGTTCAGGTCATGATGGGTCATAGTTGACTTGCTAGCACTAACAACAACATTCATGTTTATTGGATATTATGTGTACTTTTCACACACAAATACATAAATGTATCCTCTATTTTTATACAAATATTCCACAATGTTTTGTGTAGTGTTCTAAATTTATTAATATATACCTATTATTCTTTTAAATGTGTTAAAAGCATTCCAAAAGCCCATTGATTTTAAGTACTGTATTTAACCATCCAATATTGATTTTGTTATGCTGTCGCGTCGCTTGCGACTCATAGCGACCCTATGTACAACAGCCCTAAACTCTGCTCTGTCCTGTGGCAATCCCATTGCACCCGACACACCCATCCCAATTACCCCAGTCACTGAATCAACCCACCTCATAGAGGGTCTTCTTCTCCTGCGATGTCCCTCCACCATCCCAAGCATGATGTCCCTCTCCAAGGTCTGGTCCCTCCTTACAGCATGTCCAAAGTATGTCAGATGAAGCCCCAGAATCCTTGCCTCCAAGGAGCAGCCTGGTTTAAAACCCTCTCCAGGATGAATCCGTTTTCTTAGCAGTCCCTGGTACACTCAATACTCTTCTCCAGCACCACAGCTCGAGGCATCAAATCTCCTTCTATCTTCCCTAGTCACTGTCCTACTCTCTGATGCATAAGAAATGATTATAAAGACCATGGCCTGCATCAGACGCACCTTAGTCTCCAGAGACACCATTGCTCTTCAGTACTTTGGAGAGGTCCCTAACAGCAGACTTTCACATTGCAATACATCTTTTAATTTCCTGGCTACGGGTGCCAAGAATGTTGACTGTGGAGCCAAGCAAACTAAAATTGTTAACAATCTCAAGCTCTTCACCATTCATCCTGATGTTGCCAATTGGTCCAGTGGTGATAATCTTTGTTTTCTTGATATTGAGGCTCAATCCATATTGAAGGCTGCAGTCCTTGACCCTCTGCAGCAAGCGCTTCAGGTCCTCCTCAATTTCAGTAAGCAGGGCTGTGTCATCTGCATAACGCAGATTGTTGATAGATTTTCCACCAACCCTGACACCACACTTCTCATAGAGCCCAGTCTCCCGGATAATCTGTTCTGCATACTGGTTGAAAAGGTACGGATATAGGGCACATCCCTGGCATACGCCTTTCCCAATTTTGAACCATGTGGTGTTTCCTTGCTCTGTTCCGATGACCGCCTCTTGGTCTAAGTATAGGTTTTGCATTAGCACGATCAAGTGTTCTGGGATTCCCATTCTTCTCAGAGTCAGCCACAGTTTGTTATGATCCACACAGTCACAGGCCTTTGCATAATCAATGAAACACAGATAGACATTCTTCCGGTATTCCTTGCTTTCAGCTAAGATCCATCTAACATTAGCTACAATATCCCTCATACCACAACCCTTTCTAAACCCAGCCTG